GCGGGCATGGCGATGGGCATGGCGACGAGGGGGGTGGGGGCCAGGACCGCAGCGGGGGCCGGCAGCTCCCCAAAGGGCTCAGGAGCCGGGCAGCTGGTGAAGGTGGACGGGGCGGGGCTGGCCTGCGGGGCTGCTGGGCGAGCCTTGGGGGCTTTGGCTCGCTTGTCCGCGGGTTCTGGGGGGCTCTTCTTGGAGCCTGGGGTGCTGATGGGCTCCAGGGCCAACGGGGTACTGGGGACCTCCTCTGTCGGGCCCCCCTCTTCCAGGACGGCGGCTCTGTCTAGAAGAAAGAAGGAACAAGCTTACGTGAGGTCAGGGCAGCGAGGGGCTTCCCGAGCCCAAAAGCCCGGTTTCTGCGCTGGCCCTGCTGCTTCCTCTGCGGTGACCGGGTGCTGGGCCTGGACGCTGCCCGCTCTGGGCCCAGGATGAGCGACTCTCACATCGCTGTCATCCCACGTGTGGTGACCCCCAAGCGGTCCTTGGCAGCCTCGGCTCTTAGCACCTGTCTCTGGATTCTGGCGTGAACAACTCGGCTGCCCAGGAGTCAGCTCTGCCCGAGGCAGATGAACGCTGACTCCCTGAGCCTCAGTGTCCCACTCTATCAAAGGGTCCGAGCGGCCCTGCAGCTGAGTTCCCACAGAGGGGGGAGGGGGCGCAGTCTCTGCGCGCAGACCCCACGGCATCCCGCGTCCGCAGCAAGTCCCCCCCATGCCTGCACCTGCCCCTGTGTCTCGGCCGAGGCAGAGCTGGGGCTAACGTACCACTCTTGGCTTTGGTGCTCGGTTTCCGCCCACGCCCTCGTGCCTTGGTGCCCGGCTCCTCGGACCCTGGCGTGCCCCCGTCTTTGCCGTCCCCGGTGTCTTTGCTGGTCTTCCGGCTGCGGCGCTTGGCACTTGGCACCAGGAGGGCTGGGGACGGCTCCGCACCTGCGGGGGAGGGACACGGTGGCTCAAGCCTGGGTCTCTGCTCTCCCAGCCACCAGAGCATCATCCATCGTGGGGGACAGGGACCGGAAGGCCCTGCGGCTGAATCCGCTCGGCCTGCCTGGAGGGGCTGTGCAGCTGGAGAGGGGGACTCCCTCTGCAGGGACGCAGCTCAGGGGTCTGCAGGCACAAAAAGCTCCACAGGGGTCCCCGAATGAATGGACTGGGTGGGAGTGAGCAAAGATCCACTCTCGTGGGTTCTATAACCCACTTGGAGGATGCTCAAAACCACAGACCCCCGGAGGTCCAAGTCCTGGCTCTGCCTCTAACTAGATGTAGGACCCCAGGAAGAGCCATTTCCCTCCTTGACGCCAAGCTTCGTATTGGTCAGTCACGGGGAATGGGATCTCTGGATGCGCAGGACGAAGCCAGGAACTCCATGCTCTCGTGGAAATGTGAAGCCTGGAACCATCAGGAACGGTGCCTGACCAGCCTCGACGGCCTGGACTGCTCGGGGACGCAGACCTGGGGAGCCCGGGAGCCCCTCCCCCAAGCCCACTGTGGGAGCCCCACCCGTGGCTCCTGCCATTTCCACCCCACGGGTGCGAACGGTCGGAACGGTGGCCAGAGCCCAGGGCTGGGCCCGCAGGGGAGCCAGTGTGGACGTGGGGGTCACCCCTGCCAGGGCAACAGGACCGCCACTCACACTGGATCTTATAGTCGGGAGGCAGAAGGCGGATGTGGGAGAGGGGGATCCTCCCCGTGTCCCCGTCATCGAACTCCACTGTGATCAGGTCCCCGTCGTCCTCGAGGCCTAGCAAGCCTGTTGGCAGAGGGGCAGGGTCAAGGACGCCAGCGGACCCCCGCTCTCCGGTGCCCACAAGGGCAAAAGGGGAGCAGAAAACAGCCGGTGAGCAGCTCTGGGCCTGCGATGTGTAGCGGCACGTATCCAGTGGTACAGAATGTGAGTCTTAGAGTCTTGTGGTCCAGCAGGAGCACTGGCACCTGCCATTCCACCGAGCGTGTGTCCTGACTCGCTCCCAAGACCCTCCCGAGAGCACAGGGAAGCAAGAGCAGGGGCGGGAAGCCTGCAGGCCGGACCTGGTGGGTCAGTGGCCAACTGCGGGAGCGGGGCGTTTCCCAGACCACCACCTGCACGGTGAAGGGCTTCCCCTGCTGCTGGGGGCCTGGGAGGGGGCCTGCTTCACAAGGGAGCCCTGCCAGGCTCGGGCCCAAGAGGCGCCAAGCGCCTCTGTAGGCAGGGGTCAGGGGACCCCAACACTGGACAGGCTGAGGGTTTACGCCTGGGGCACAGGAGAGTTAGGTGGGTCCCCAAACCCCAAGAACTGTCTGCCGGCCGGTGGCAGGAAGCCATGGGTAATGGGGACCAGAGGTCGCCACAAAACGTGCCTGTCGATGCACAGGCCTTCCCATCTGCTTAGTACAGACCACCTGACCCGAGAGGCCAGCCTCTCAACGAGACAGACACGGACCAGAGAGGTCAGGGGGCTGAAGAGCACACAACCCCCGAAGAGATGGCAAGGGCAAGTCAGAAGAAAAGGGAGCTGCAGAAACTCAAACGTGGAAACAGTCCTTTCTCCGCGAAGTTTACGAAAAGAGAACACGGATACCAGCAAATGTGGTAAGAAACAAAATCAGATAAAAACAAGAAGATGGAACACAAAAAGTTGGGGGAAAAAAAAACATGCAGAGAATAAGAAAAAACTCTAGGAATTTCTTACACGACAGCAGGAATTTCAAAACTTCAGTAGATGGAAGGGCCAGAAGGTCGGGGTTAGTTGAGGAAACCTCCCGAGAGGTTGAACAAAAAGGTGAAGAAACAGACGATAGGAATAAAGATAACAGGCACTGCAGGCCAGCACACGGTCCCAGGGAGGGCTGCAGGGGACAGGGAGTGGCTCCTGGAGAGCCACACACGGAGTTTCCAGAACAAAGGAAATTTGCTTCACAAAGCCCTCAGGCCCCAAACACCCAGCAACACACACACAGAGACACTCAGAGACACATACACAGACACACATCAGACACACACACACACAGATATACACAAACACACAGGCACATAGACACACACAGCCGTGCATAGAGACATGCACAAAAACATATACACAAAGACAGACACACACAAACCCACATGAAATTCCAGATCTAGGAATAACGAGAACACCCTCAAAGTTTCCAGAGAGAAAGCAGGGCTCCTACAAAGATGTAGTTGTAACAATGACATCAAATTTAGACGTCAACAGCCAGATAAAAACGGAAGGCACAGTGACTTTGAAAATTATTTCCAACCTTGACTTTATCCCCAATTCAACTATCTTTTAAGAACATGCCAAAATAAAGCGATCTCAAGCGTGCGTGTACTAGAGGGATCCTCTAGGATCCTCCTAGGATCCTCTCTCAGAAAGCTACAGAAAGATTCTCCATGGAAACGAGGGAACGGAACAAGGAAGAGAAAGACGCGGATGAAACACAGGAGCTGGAGAAATGGAATTCTGAGCGATCCCCAGGGGACGGACCAAGAGTGACCCTGCCATGGTCTCTCTGGGGCAGGGGGGTGGGGGAGACTTCCTGCCCGGCATCCGTGTTCCACCTCCTGGGTGGGTGTGGATGTCGGGCCGCAGCGGGTACACTGTATCTGCCGTCTGGCTGTTGGTCTGAAGAACGAACATCCAGAGCTCAGCTCCTGGAAACGTCAGTTTTGCACCGTGTGAGGATCTGTGGTTTCTGTCCAACACCTGCAGCTTCTGGGGCACCTGTTACTTACGTCAGCCTTGCTTCCCATCTCTTACTCGGCTACCAACACCCCGGTCTTCCCGGGGTGGCCACCGTCTCCTCTCCCGGGTCACAAGTGGAATCAGAAAGCCAACCTCACTTGCTGGTGTCGGGAACGAGCACGTGACCCAGGCTCAAGGACGAGACTCACAGCAGCCGACGAAATCCACGTGACCCAAGCCAGTTTCGGGGGCCCCGTCCCACGTGTCCCCATACGGGAAGTGAGAGCAATTCCCCCGACGGCGGGATCTGTCAATCTGGGGCAGCACCGTCCCCGAGGAGCTGGGTGTGAAGCCGGCGCAGCCGAGAGCGGACCGAGGGCCTGAGCGCCGGGCCGGCCCTGCCGGAAGCCACGCGAGGAAATGGGGGGATGAGGGGGAGGATCGGGGGGGGGGGTTGCCGAGGATGCCTCACCTCGGACCACGGTGCCTGGGTAGAGGCAGCGGTACTGCTGGCTCCAGTAGGCTGCGATCCTGGTCCCTTGTGGCAAGAAGCGCGTGGAGGCCGGCCTCACGTCATTGATCTGCGAGGGCGAAGGATTGAGTGCCAGGGGTGACCGGGAACAGCCCGGCCCCCGACCGCCCGGCGGCCCCGCCTCCCCTGCCCCCCTCACCGCCTCCTGCAGCAGCTGCTCCAGACAGTAGATGTGGGGCCGGTTCCCACGCTCGCCCTCCACCACCACACGGTATCTGCAAGGCCACGGCAGGCGCGGTGTGAGGTGACGGAGACGGCGGCCCCTCCCGGAGGAACCCTGCACCTCGACCACCGGCCCCAGCGGCACCAGCTCCGCCTCCCAGACCGCTCGATGGCACGTCAGAGCCTGGGGAGCTGCTGGCGTGCGGTCTGAACCTGGGGCGAGGCTCTCCCCTTCTGGGCCTCGGTTTCCTCATCTGTACAGCTAGGGGGTTCAGATCTGAGAGAGGCCAGCACAGACCGGCTGGCCACACCCACTGGGGGGCCTCCCTCAGCGGGCACCGCCCTCCCGGGCACCGTTCATCTGGTTCTAGGGAGAAGCAGTCGCAGCTCAGAGAAGCAAAGCAACCCGCCCATAGAGGCCCAGCAAGGCCCCCTGGACCCTGGACTGGGGGAGGGTCCGCAGGCTCTGAGGCCGGTGCCACCCCCGCCCAGGCCCCCACTCACATGTCTGGCGAGTGCACCGTCTGCACGTGCCCGGCATACAGCAGCTTATCATCCATGGGGATAAGCACACGCAAGCCGTCTTTCAGCTCGTCCTTGTCGATGATGCAGGAGCGCGGGGCTGCAGGGGGACACGCAGGGAGGCAGGGCTGCAGCCAAGGGGCAGCCGAGAGACCCTCCTTCCGCGCCCAGCGCCTCCCTTGCCCCAGGCCTGCCGGGTGGCAGGGATGCCCCCCTGCAGGGACATGTGGGGGGGCCGTGCGCAGCCCCTCCCCTCCTGGCCCAGGCCCTTGCAGAGATCCCAGGCAGGTGTGAACCAAGTGTGATCTCCTACACAAGCCACCCCTCCTCCACCCAAAGACCACCACCCTTGGCGCCTGGGCATGAGGCCCCAGGTCGTCCGCCCGTCCACCGCTGCCTCTCCCACCAGACCTCCAGGACTTTCCACTGGTGTTTTCTCTTCCTGGAATGCTATGTGTCGTGGTGGAAACCAATCCCCGCCTTGGCCAAACTCCCAGGCCAGGCTCTCCGCGTTCCTCACCTGTCCTCAGCTGAAAGCTGCCTCTCCCCACCGGCTTAGAGGCCACCCCCTCCGGAACCCCCACACCAGATGTTCCCCATTTTCCTTTTCCACACTGACCACACTGCTCTGGATTCCAGGGCTCCCTCCTCCTGCCCTGTGAGACCTTGAATCCGGCCCCACCCTGTCATGACCCACACGGCTCGCTGGCTGGCCCGCCTGTTTCTTCATTCCTGCCTGCACGCACACCCCTGCCACAGCCTCACCATGGGCAGAGTGGACACCCACCCCTTGTCGCTGAGTGTGGCCGTGAGACTTCCTCCGGCCAATGGCACAAGGGAGGGAGTGATCAAATACTGATTCTGAATCTAGGCCTCCAGAGGTCTGGTCAGCTCCCACTTTCCCTCGTGAGCCTCTGGCAGTACCGCCCCAGGAAAAGCACGCCCCGGCTCACCCACAGGCCCAGGGGGTGAACGGCCCCGGAGTGGAGCTGACCCTGCGTCTGTGGACCTCCAGCTGTCCTGCTGTTGTGGCAACAAGCCCAGGCGAGGTCAGCCCGGCTGCCTTACAGACCACTGAGACCCATAATGGATACCTACTACCAGCTACCACTGGGTAACTCTTTGTTACACGGCAACAGCTGACTGATACGCTCCCAATCAGGTGATTAAGTTCCCCAGCTCTGCACATCCTCTTGTTCCACACCCACCCCACCCAATTCACATCCTCAGTCTCTCCTCAGAGCTCCACACCCCTGGGTCCAGGTGCCAGGTGTATGTCATTTACCCGGATGTTCTCCAGGCACCCCAGACTCCAGCCAGCAAAGTGTGGCATGTGATCTCTCCCTGCTCCCCCTACACGCCCACCCCACCACCACCCATACTCACTCGTTCTGGTCTGCTCACACAGCCCCTCTCCCCCTCGCGACGTGCTCAAACCCACCCCATATCCCTCCGTGCTGCCCCTGCCACCATCGCTCACCGGATCCCCACAAGGGCCTCCCTACCTAGACTCCTGTCCCCCTCAGGGCCACCCCCAAGTCATTCTATACAAAGCAGTCAGAAAGCACTTTCCAAAACCAGTCCGACTGTCCTCATCTACTTCCAGCCGTGGACAGCTTCTTATTTTCATTAGGGCAAACTGTGACCACAGCCCAGAGATGGGGCCGTCTGCCTCTCCCTCCTCCCCCACCCAGCTTACTAAACCAGAGCCAAGCCGGCCTCTCTCGGTTTACCACAGATACCATGCCCCCACCCAACCTCAGGGCCCCTGCACATGCCCACTCCCTGGGGTAGCTCAGCCCCTGCCCACTGCTTCCCCAGGGGGACCTCCAGCCACCCCCCCACACACACTCTGGGCCTGAGCCGACAGGGCATCGAGGGCACTTACCTGGAGTCAGTGGCCGCTCCGCAGCCCCACCACGTGGCAGGTGCTCATCCTCAGAGAAGCTCGAGTCCTGATTGGGCTCAAAGTCCTCCTCTGCAGCCATGCTCTCCATCAGCTTGCTCACGGCTCCCCCCTTCCCCCGGTTCTGGGGACAGAGCACAGCAGACCCACGGCTCGGGGCACGCCGTGCAAGTCCCGCTGCTTAGGACCCTCCCTGGAAACCCCGGAGTCTTGGTCAGGCTGCAGGGGCATCTGCCACGTGAGTGGTACGGGGCCGAGGGGGTGGTGTCCGTGAGATCGGCAAGCAACCCGAGTGGCCAGGGCCTGCGTGGGCTGAGGCAGCACTTCCGGACACACAA